CCCAAGCCCCTCACGGGCTGTGGTGGCCCAAGCCTGACTCAGCTTGAGGGCCACATTTTGGCAATGAAGACCCTAGTTTTTACGGGCCGGCCCTCCGGACCTATTGTCAGCCTCAGTTGGAATAGCATGTGGCGTGGCCTCTGAAATGAAAATGGCAGCACTACCGCCTGATTTTTAGTTTGAGGACTTTTATCGATTAAAACGTGCCGAAACAGCCCTCATATATAAATCGACCAAGCTTTTTATGCTTTCCCTTCAACGTAAAACTTACACATTTCTCCTTATCCAACCATTCATTCTGAAGGGAGAGCTAAGAATGCCCCAATCACAATGTCACGTCTCTACATTATTTTATTTTTTATTTTTTTTTTATAAATTATTTTTGATATATTTCTCCTTATCCAACCGTTCATTCTGAATGGAGGGCTAAAAATGCCCCAATCACAATGTCACGCCTCTACATTATTTTATTTTTCATTTATTTCTATCAACTATTTTGGCACCAAATTTTTGATGTCCAATCCTCTATTAAACTCGTACTAGCGAAAAATGTTAAAAAAATATTTCCAATAAAATAAAATGACCAAAATACTTTTGAAAGATTCAAGGGGTATTTTGGTCATTATATTTTATCGAAAATTTATTTTTAATATTTTTTATAGGTGTGCCCCAATGAAAAGATGACTGAAATTTCATATTCATACAATTTGTATAAAAATAAAATACTTTGAGACGTCGAATCTAAGATCAAATGGTAAGTAGCTCTCTTGATCAAAATTGGACGGCTGGTTGGTAGAAGAAGTATAAAACTTCTATGTTGTAGAGGAAGTATAGAAACCTTTCCCATATAAATCAGCTATATAAAATCAGACTTTATTAATTATTAAAAGGTGTAATTTGTATAAGGTTGAGGCCCTAAACAATCACAGTAAGGCACACCTTTAAATAATGTTAAAAGATGTTGTAGAACAAAAAACTTTATGATCGCCTGAAAATATATTTCCATCTCTAATTATAAAATCTAAAGCTTCAAAAATAGTGTAGATCAAGTAGATCTACGAATACTTGAAAATATTGAAAATCGATGATTTAGATAATGCATTATAAAAAACACTAAATTCGAGATTTGAAGTCTTTTTTTTTTTTCACTTCCATTATCTCAAGATTGAGATGATCGGATTTGAGGGATTTTCGACATTGAAACAACTCCTTCTAGTGAATTTTTGAGGTGTGCCTTAGTGCGATTGTTTAGAACCTCAACCTCATACAAACTTTTCCGGGAAAAGTTCAAAAACTATCTGGCCACACTCTCTCTCTCTCCACAAACAAAGAAATGGAATAGAAAACCATCCCATCCCACCTCTATCTGTGTCTGTGATTAAAGAGTGAAAATTTTCAAAAAAAAAAAGAAGGAAAAAGCAAGAACACTCTCACTCTCTCCCTCTAAAATGCAATGGTTTTCCACCCACCTCTCTCTCTCTAAAATGCGATTGCAAACCACCCACCTCTCTCTCTCTAAAATGCAATGGCAAACCACCCACCTCTCTCTCTCTCTCTCTCTCGCTGAAAGCGGTATATTTGTGTGCAGCAGCAGAGCAGGTGATCGTATGGGTGTGGGAGTGCATGCATTTCATCCCACAATAGGCCAAAGGAGTGAGACGTTGTAAAGTTTTATTTATTCTTTTAATTAAAACGAATTAATCTCCAACCTTTGATTCTATTCATGTTATGTCGCTTTTAAGGTTCGAGCGTCCCATCCTTGCGCTTACACTTTATGCATAAAAATCTCCTCACTTTACTGGGTGGTGGTGCTGTTTGGATACAAGTATGATATGAGCCTCTACTAATCATAACAACAATATTATTATTATCACTAATGTTGCTGTCTAAAAAAATTGACATTATAATTCAATAGTAAGCCTGCGGATCTCAAGTATCCGGCGGAAGACCACAAGAAATTTCACCACTTTGGACTCATTACATTAAGAATTTCAAAGCCAACCCACATGAGTCAATTAACCACAACAACGACAACCATAATAATAATAATAATAATAATTATTATTATTATTAGAATAATGATCTTATAGGACCTTCTTACATTCATATGAGTAAAACTAAAAATGATTATTATTAAAGTTGGTACGGATTTCTAAAAAAATTATCACATGGGTATGGGACTTGATTTTTTTATAAATCTGTGACAAATTTAATAGTGATCTTTTGGGGTCTTACACACATAGGTGGGAGAGGGTTTTATAGGATCATTTATCTTATTTATTATTATTATTATTATTATTATTAGAAAAATAATCCTATAGGATCCTCCCCCACTCATGTGTCTAGAACTCCAAAAGATCACCATTAAATTTGACACATATCTATAAAAAAAATCAAGTCTCGTACCCATGTGATAACTTTTTAAAAAATCCATGCCAACGTTAATAGTGATCATTTGAAGTTTTACACACATGAAAGGGAGAAGGTCCTATAAGATCATTACTCTTATTATTATTATTATTATTATTATTATTATTATTATTATTATTATTATTATTTGGTATTTCAGCCAAGAAAGGTTCCCCTATTCTTAAAAATAGAATTCAAGATATTATATTGTGACGTATTGCTGCCTTGAGCATCTAGCCTTGAGGCTATTCCTATAATAATAATAATGATGATGATGACGATGATGATGACGATGATGATGATGACGACGACAATGATGATGGTGATACGGGTGGGAGTGATAATAAAGAATGAAATATATCATAGAACAGAAAAATTTAGAGGCATGACTTTTGCCATGGTTTTGGAATTTTAATTAAGTTGCCCAGTAAAATCGTGAATGTGAGAATGAGAGATGTAAAGTTATAGGAATTTTGTCTACATGTCTTGCAATTTGATCTTGATCAGACAGTTACCAATGAACAAACAATAGCATCATAAGCTAATGCTGACTATATTTGTCTAACAC